AAGCCACATTCAAAGTTGTGGGTGAAGAAGCCATATGTTCTTTTTATGCCTGACATATTCTCCTAGATGTTTCCAATTTTACCAAAAGATCGATCAAGGGGATTTTAGTTCAGTAGCTAAATACTGAGGTATTTCTCAGAGGAAGGTTCCATAGAAGGCAAAGGTAAAACATTCAGAGAGGATATTATAGTGAACAGTGCAAGGAACCCTAGAATGGTGGACACAGTTCAGGCTTTGGACTCTGATCACCCTGGGTTTGAATCCCAGCTTTATTCTTTCTTTACTGTCTTTGTAACCTTGGCCAAATTACTTAACTTCTAGGAGTCCTAGTTTCTCCATCTTCATCAGCGAGCACACAGTAGGTGCTCAATCTACAACAGTTACTATTTTTTTCTATACACTTGCATAAGCACTAATACACAGACTATTTACAGACACACAGACACCCAAAGCACACACACACGGGCTCCCCTGAAGGCCTATCTGCCAGTGACCACAGAAAGCAGAGCTGCCTCTCAGCTGAGTCCTGGAACTTTCATGAACAAGCATCTCTGAGGACTCCCACTGATGAACGGATGCCAAGAAAAGAGCTGGAAAATGGCATCCTGCCCAAATGAAACAAAATGCTAAGAATTCCTGTCCCAGTTACTTTTAACCCTGGCTGGGGCTGGATCGCACTTGCAAGGGTGGATTTTAAGGAGCCGAGGAGGGCTAGGGACCTGGGCCCAGCGCACTGCCAGGCCACAGCGTGGAGGCCACTCAGGCTGGTCATCTGTCCGGCAGGCAGAGAGCTGCACCTGGGCCCCAGCTCTGGGCCCCTCCCAGCCCCGGGGTGGTTTACACACAGCAGCGCAGATGCCAGGACCGGGGAGAAGGAGCACATCAGACACCGCCGTCATTCCTTCTCGCACAGGCGCACTCGCCCAGGGGCTGACCCTGGAAACGGTCTCGGTCGAGGCCAGGCCTGATTTCCCTGCTGCCTTCACTGCCCCCGGGGATGCTGGGACGCTGCTCTCTGCAGGGTTCTGCTCCTCTCCTGGGTCGGCTCCCAGGAAAACCGAGTCTTCGGTTCAGCCAACGTGACGTTTCTTCGAGCCAGAGTGCTCCGGAGGCTGCCCCCGCCCCCGCCAGGAAAGCAGGCCCACACGGCACTGGAGAATGGGCTTTTCAATGAACGCACTTCTAACACGGCCTGTGGCGCTCCGGCAGAAACACGCCCTGTGTTCAGCCACGTGTAGGGCCGCGGGTTTGAAATGGCTGCACTCTGAGTTCTGTAGGACAGATGGGGCAGAGGAGAGGAGTTTCTAGCTGAAGGAGAACAGAGGCCCTTGTCTTCCAAGTTGCTGTTTCCCCCGAACCTTCCGTTTTGCCCTTCCCGGTGATTGGAGAAGGCTCTGCTGTTCTCCAGCGGCTTCCTCCCTCCGTCTTCCCTCTCTCCTCCTCCAGCTCCTCCATCCAATCTTTTTCTCTCCCTCTCCTTGCTTCTTTTCTCCTTCTGCCTTGTCCCCAGGGAAATGGGAGAATGAGCAAGCCTGTGGGTTTTAGACTCCAAACAAAGAACTGCTCCAACAGCCGTCCGAGGAGACAGAACCAAGTCTACACGCAGCTGGCCAGGGCCCCAGCGGACATTTGGAGACTTGGGCTGTTGGAAACTCAGTGTGATCTTACTGCAACATTTTCTCCTGTGCTTCACTTACACACACACACACATACACACACACATGAACAAGGTACAATAAAAACGAGAATATTTCATTACAAATCTTTACAGGTTAGGGCAAGAACAAAGTAACAAATGGCAGTCAGGAGCATCAATGAAGAAAACAGATTTTGTCAATGCCCCACGCCAAAACTTCTTAGTTTGTGACCATTCACAATCGCTAGCAGCTACTGATTACATGGGAGAAGGCGAGGAAAAGGTCCTAGTGGGCCACCCAGAAGTCCCATCTCAGAGACACAGCATTTGACTCGGGTGTTTGAAAACAAGAGAAGAGAGCAGACCACGCTTGGGCCTTCTGAAGAAGGAGGTTTCTGCTCACTCAAGGCAGCAGAGGGGGGGTCAGAGCCCTGCCCCACCCCAGCCCGGTTAGGCAATGCTAGTAGACGGGCACAGGATTTGTCACCAGCTGTGCCATTTAGGGCAGTGATGTTTATGTTCCCTCTTTGGTCTTCGGTTTCCTGTCAAATGAACATTGTAACTACTGCCCCCGGGTGTTCGCAGATTGGGATTACATGGGAAATCTGAAAGTCAGCAACGGGAGGAAAGCCAGCCCCACACAGGGCAGGCACCAGGACCTGGGCGGGGCACGGCTGCCGGCTCTTCTCAGCACCCCAGGAGTCCAGGGAAGGTTACTTCCAGTTTCCCCGTGAAGAAATCAAAGCTCAGAGAGGTTAGGTAACTCTCTCAAGATCACATATACAATCAGGAAACAAGGGAGGTGGGCTATTATCAACATATAAGTGCCATTCTCCGCGAAAAACACAACTTTACTGAAAACCAACGGCAACCAAAAATGATCAAGTCCCAATACTGAGCTTCCTGAGAAAGAACTCTATGCTAGACTCCTCGGGTTCCTTTAATTCACTTTTAGTTTATCCTTCAGACTCTGCATCAAAGTTCCATTTCACCTAAGTTTAAAAGAAAGATGTTGGGAGGAAAGGGAAAAACAGCCGTCGAATCATGTGACTGAAATATGCTGGTGACAGAGGAGGAAGAGACACAAGTCTGGCAGTCGTACAGTGTCAGGGGACACAATGAGGGGCAGAGGATGGGTCACGGGCAGGTGGGCAGGGAGGCTTGCTCCTTTCCCTGAATAGTCGACCCACCAACACAAGTCACCCACATGGTGGCATCAATTCTGAGGAGCAGGCAGGCAAAGCACCTGTTCAAAGGCCTCCCTGGATAGAGAAGAAAATGCTGAGAGTCCACACTGAAAAGAAGGAACAGAACTGCCCCTCAGACGCAAAGTCTGAACAAAAGGGAAATGCAAACAGCAATCCAGAAATGCCTCGATTCCCGTTCAGATCGTGCAGTTTTCGACATGTGACCTGTCAGCTGCCCAAACAGGAGGGCTTCCCGCAGGGTGCCTGGGCGAAACGATTTTCATTTTATCATCCAGTCTCTTTCAGTTCTGCAAAGTACAGTACCCCTGGACAATACGCTTTATTCTGTCAGCCCGGTCGACGGAGTGGAAAGTTCCTGTGAGTGGGAATGGACCTGGACACGAGTGACTGGAGATGGCACCCCTTCTGCTGGCGAGACCTTTCTGCAGACAAATGGATGTGAACCCATCGCCTTTTCAGTAGACTATTTTGTTTTTAGCAACAATGCATATAATCATCATGATGAAAAGGTAACAATGCCAACATCAATAACAGCTAACACTGATTGAGTGGCTAGCACTGTGCCAGGTGCTTTTCATATGTCTTCTCGTTATCCTTACACCTATCACCCTGCCTATAGGTTCTCCTTCTCCCCTGTATGCAGCCAGAAAATAGTGCTCAGAGGGAAAGCTCTCAGCATCTTTAGCTCTTTCTGAATCCACAGTCTGAGCCCTTGATACCATCATCCCATTCTGTCTAATCTCTGTTCCCTTCTCACTCTTTAAGCCTCCATGAAAACATCTCCCTTCCTGTATTTCCATTTACCCCTTCATCGCGTGGTGAGCTTTCACAACCCTGCCATTTAAACCCATGCTATTTTATGATTTCTGGCTGCTCTACAACTGTTTACAGACAACAGTGCCGACTGGAGTCAACGTGCTTTAATTTTCACATTAAAAAAGAATTCCCGAGGGAGAAAATAATTTGACAGAAAGCCAAAACCTTTACAAGCCCTCGAGGTGGCATTAAAATCCAAAATTTCAAAATACGGTAATTCTGTCAAAGTTGTGACTCACTCTGTGCCCATGGGAACACTCATCTTGACCCCTCTGTGAAAGCCATCAGCGGCCGGCGCGCCTTCCAGCAAGGGGGCCAGGCCGCTTCGGGTAGATGAAGTCTCACTGAGATGGTTTAAAACACTCTCCGGGAAATGATGTTCAAGCAAAGCAAATTGCAGCCTTGCAAACTGCAGCTCTGGTACACGGCTGTGTCTGTATATTCACAGCACGCTGGGGCCCTCCCCCGACTGTGGTCCTGGGTGCACTGACTAGAGGCAGAACTCTCTCGCTGGGGAAATCATCTCTGTGCCTAAGTTATACAAGAGCCACGCCTGGCCCGGCCAATGGCATCAAATCTGTTACAGATCACTAACCCTACATGATTTGGCCCAGCCTAGATTATTTATGGTTCATAAAAGTCCCGTTGGACCCCAGCATATTCTAAGACCACATTGCAATAATGGGATTAAATATCTGCATTTCTTCGCAGGATCTCCACGGCAGATTAGTAATGCTACGATTGGTTTTCAGGAAACCAAGACAGAGACCTAACTATGAACACTCCTGCAAGAGACCCAATGTAGAGAACACACTGAGTCATGTGTTTCCGCCAGGCTGTGCAGTCACATTCTGGAGCTATGTCACCATTTCTGATATGAAAGCATCGGCTAAAATTAAACCTAAACAATTTGAGAGCCATTTCTTTACCTGGAAGTCTCGGCCAAGTCCTCGTTCCTCAGATGTTCTAATGGTTGCTGACATCTGAGCGGAAATGACTCCTGTGCAAGAACACTCCCAGGTGTTTGCTTTTTAAACCCTCTCCCCTTTTATTATTTTTTTTTAAAAAGATAGCTGCACTTGTTTTAGAGAGATGCTGCTTCTAAATCTACAGCAATAGGACTTAGCCCTATAGCTGTGACATGTCACTGTACAATTGAGCTTTCTAATAAGCACAGGAAAGGCAAAATGTGCCACAGGGCCACTAAAAATGCCACCTAGCTAGGATAATGGAAGCCTGCTGTCCTCCCCCAATGCAAAGCCTCCAGATCTAGCTTTCTTGTCCTCCTTAGGGAACACACTGTCGTTTAATTTGTGATTTACAGCAAATTCCTTACCTACCTCCAAGGAAGATGAAATGCCCAATTTCGTAGCTTCCGCCAGACCCTCTGAGCTTGTCAGTTGCCCCAGTTCACTTTCTCTCTGAGTCTGGCTTCTAGGAATGCAAGAAGGACCGCAGGCAGCCCAAGCATCTTCTTCTGGAAACCCTTCTCCCAATCTGGACGCTTCCTGAAGCCAGCAGCAGGCTCAAGCCTGAGCAGCTCAGCATTCACTCACAGAAAACAGCACGGCTGGATCCAAATCCTGCTAGGGAGCCACCAGGCAGGGGGAAAAGTGTGACTTCTACCCTTCCTGTGGATCCGATCGTCTTCCTGAGAACGTCGCTTTCGTCAATCTGCAGGAAGTCTCAGACCCCAGCCTCAGCGTCACCAACTGATCCTGAGCCAGACCCAGGGCAACCAGTCAGCTGGTTGCAGAGCTCAAGACGCTGAACCAGGAAATGTGCAGCTTGGCCAAAAAATAATAATAACTGTCGGCGGCAGAGCTGCGTGTGGTGCCCGAGAAGTCGCTGTTGCAGTGCTCGCATCCTCCGCATGCTAATGAGCCGTGACGTCAGCAAGTCAGTCCCCGCATCTGGACGTCCTGTCCCTGCTGCCCAGCGCTGAGATTTATTTACATGTAAATTAGCCCTGCCTTCCAAATCAATAATCCCCAAGCCAGGGCGACAGAAGAAAGCCCTTGCTGGATGCAAAGGCTCCAGCTCTGCATCCCCCAAAGGCATAGGAAAATAGCACGTGTAAGAAGGGAGGCGTTAAAGATACACGTCTATTTCTTTTCTTTTTAAAGTGGTGCTATGGGTGCAGGGTATCAGATCTGGGCACAGCTTTCAACCTGAGTGTCTGTTTCAGATTACATGCTGCACCGACCCAGGAGTGAAATCAGCTCTTTTTTTCCCCTTCCCCAAAAGCTCTGTGGAGCCTTCAAATGCCTCTACTCTCTTTTCTCAACTTTCATTTCAGGGTGTTTCTTAGTTTGAAATGATGTTGTCCTTGAATTTTTGTGAATCCCTGAAATAAAACACATTTGGCTACTTTCCTTAACATGCTTGGGTGGTGAGTTAGTCACCCCCCCTTTCTATCCCTAACCCCAGCTCAGAGTGAACATGGGAGATGACAGAGCATAAATCTGCCTGGGGCATTGGAGGACTCTAGACCCTCAGGGAGCACTGCTTCCATCTCTCCATTTTACAGATTAGGAAACTGAGGCTTTGAATGGAGAAGGGCCTTGTCCAAGGTCACACCAGGATTTCAGCAAGGATGGGCTAGAACCCACATTTCCTGAACCTCAGCCTGGAGTTTTGTTAAACACCTCTGTATCTCCAATCTCCATTTCTCTGCACCAACAAAGAGCCTAACCAAGCAGCATGAAGAAAGAACTCTATAGAGTTGGTTAGCCCTGGGTTCAAATCTTGGTTTAGTTTTCTGCTAGTAATGTGGCCCTGGAAAAGTAACTTTGGGGTCTTCAATGTCTTCATCTGTACCATCCCTTCATTCAATAAATATTTTTTGGACACCTACTCTGCGCTGTGCGCAGTGTTTGCTCTCCCCTAGCTCATGTATTACTATAATAGAGTAAAAATATTGAATGGAACTGTAGTGACGATTGACACAATGTACATAATAACAAGTCTTCACCTGAGGCTACTTTTCCATCCATCCTCAGATAGAGTGGGAGGGAGGGAGGCAGGGAAAGAGGGAGAGAGGGGGAGAGATTGACTAGTTGCCTCCTGCACAACCCCGACCAGGGCTGGGGATGAACTGCAACCAAGGTATGTGCCCTTGACCAGAACTGAACCCAAGACTCATTGGTCTGCGGCCGACACTCTAACCAATGAGCCAAACCGGCCAGGGTAATAACAGCTGTTTTTGACATTATGGACAAAGTCAGAAAAATTCACCAAAGCTTTCCTTCTACTAGGATGGCCGCTGTTCCTATCCTCTGAATATTCCCATGGTCACCTTTTATGGTTTAAAATCAATTGTTCTTTCGCTGCTGCTGAGGCAGTATCCTGGGCCAGGTGAGAGGCAAGCACAAGCCAGTATGCTGGCCCCTGTGCCTGTGATGAGAAGCGCAGTGGCTTCCTTGGGGGGGGGGGGGGGGGGGGCTGGGGCCGGGAGAGAGGTGTGCTGCATTCTGCACAGAAGCGGCCCTGAGGACAACGCAGCTAGCACTCCTTGCCTACACCCCCACCTGAGAACACACTCTGATGGCCTCTGCCCTTCCAGCTGGAGCTCTTGAAGCTTCAAACAAATTTTTTTGTTGGATGTGGAGAAGTTAAATTGTGTCTTTTGTTATAGGTAATTGTATTAATAGTGCTTAATAACTTCTTTCAGACTGCTTCTCTCCGGTTCATAGACCTTTCATGGTGAAAAACATGGGACCTGGAATAACTTTTATTACTTTTCATTCACAGAACAGAATGCAGTTGAATGAGTGATACTCTGCTCTGGGTCTCCGTCGTGCAGAACTCAGAGCACGTGGGGAAGTGGCTAGGTCAACCAGACCGCAACATCCTTCAAGAAACAGAAAACCATACCTAACCGTTTGAAGCCCACAATGGCCAAGGGGAAGCAGTGACATCGACCCCAGTGTGGCCGTGGACAAATCACTTCAACTTTCTATGCCCCCGTTTCTTCGTCTGGGCCCACTACCCTCTGACCTCCTTGTCATCAGCATGATCACATGAGATTGTGAGCGATTGTCAGTGAAGAGGAAAAGAGGAAAGCTGGAAGGCAACGTGAACGAGACGAATTCGTCCAGAATAGACATGGCACACGCCTATCAACTTCCCCCGAGGTAACAGGATGGCCGGGGACCTGCAATGGGCTGCCTGGGGCAGACCCTGGCTCAGACACTTGCTAACTCTAGGTTCTCTTGGACAACACAGGAGCAATAATGTGTGTACCCCTGCGAGGCTGTTTGAACTAGCGTGAAGCACTTCGCACAGGCGAGTGCTTTCACGGTCGACTCTGCACTGATCAGCGGGCCGGCCAGACGACGTTCAAAAGGTGAGAAGGAAGTGGTCAGTGGGAGACTGCAACATCATCCCCAGTCCTAGGGCACAGTTCAAAATCCCACCTAATGTGGGTGAGCTGCTGACACGCTCCTCCTGCAGGAGACATCACAGACACTTCAACGGCTATGAAACTGGGAAAGAAAGCAGTAAAAATGACCAAGAGGCACTGGGGCCTCTTGCTCGGAAGCCGCACTACAAGACGAGAGGACTAGATTTCGGGGGGGCATGAGTGCTTCATCCACTCATTCAGGGACCCATTCACCTGTTAAATGAACTCCTAAAATTTGCGAGTTACTGTGTTAGGCCTGATGGACATCATGGTGACCCACACAAAGATGGACCATGCCTTAAAAGGCTTGGAAATAAGAGGGGAAGACAATTAAGCAAGCAATTAGAGAAGAGTGTGACTCGTGTTATGATAGCGCCGGTGCAGCGTTCTCAAAAGTCTAATTGTAGTCAGGAGGGGATGGCACAAAGCATGGCATCAAGGTCCTTTGGCAGCGTGTTCTCTGACTGTGCTCAGCGGGGAAGCTGGAGATCTATGCTTCGCCCTTGCACAGATCACTGAAATAACCCAATCATAGATCAATACTCCCTCGTGGTAATCATCTTCATCCTGGAGCCCATTCTAGTCAGGATTTTTTGAAAATGTGCTGTTAGGTATTAGACAAGGTGGGGTAATAACTACTTATTGGAAATTTCAGAGATCTGGCTAATAGGGGCAAAACTCACACCATTTTCACAAAAACAGATGAAATACCACATTCGTGACAGCAAACTTCTTGGGTGGGGAATGGGGGAGAACAGATACTACATATGAAACACTCGGACACTTAATGGGAATCTCTGGGATGCAGGACACTCTTGCTGGGAGGCGAGGATACGATTGCTGACCGTCGGAACTTCCATTTCGATATGACAGTAAGGTGTTTACAAAGATGACCACAACCGCATACGGTATTTAGGAACAGGGGCAAAGACCTCTTAGTCCATGGGACAAGACTGATTGTGGCTGAGATCAGAAATCAGGAAAAGTCGGATTTGAGTCAGGTAGAAGGCCCCAAATAATTTTTTGTTTATAATGAAGAAACATCCAGAAACCATAAATGAAAAGACTGCTAAGATAGCCAAGGTCAAACTTTAGCTGCTAGAGAGGGTGTTGCAGGCAGGAGAAAGAACATAAATATGAGAAAAAAGTGTTTTCACAAATGCAGAATGAATAGACTCGTCTGCATGGGCACCAGGCCAACTCAGCCTGGGCAGGTCATGACGAAGAGCCTGCTCCGTGCATGCGGGGAGAATCAAACCCTCTCTCCCGTCCAGCCGGCATGAGTCAAAATCTTGTTAGAGGATTAAGGGGAAGGCCTGAGCCGCGGCTGGTTACTTCCCAGAAGACAAGGACAAGTGACGACAAGGACTGTGGCCTCCTGAAGGGAGGCTTCAGTGAGGACAGGCATAGAAACACTTTTTAATGGAACCAAAGAGGGATTTCCTGGGACCTGTGGAAGACTTTTGAAGGCTGAGATGTAGGACTGGCATGGGTCACTTGGAGCCTTGGTAATGTCTACCACAGCCCAGTTGCTAATTTTAATTTTTGCTATGCAAGTTCATTTTTTAAAAAAATAACACAATCTACTAAACCCATAATATCTTAAAACAAAAGGATGTCTAACATCAAAGAAGTAATGATAGTCCTAAACGAATACTGCAAATCAAAGTTGCATCTGTTTTGTCCCAAAAGGGAGAAAACAGTCTAGATTTTCATCAACTTTTTTATTAATAAGCAACATCAACCCACATAACCATATAGAAGAATGAAACTTGCGAACTTCTACAGTGCAAGTAAAGGTCCATAAGGCACCCACAAAGGCGGAGCTGCCCTCAAGAAAAGAAATGCTCAACGGAGATCCTCTCTGTGGTTTCTGACTGCTCTTCCAGTTCAGATTTATAATCCTCTGCCCCCAACACAGGCAGGGCGTTGTCACCGAAAGAGCCTGACAAAAGACCTAAATTCAAATCTGGGTCTGTTATCTCCTAGCTTCACGGCCTTGGTAATAACAGCAACTCACCTTCTCTAAGACTTGGTCCCTCCATCAAAAAATGAAGACTTCCACTAATCATCAGAGGGATGCAAATAAAACCACAATGAAAAGTCACCTCACACACACCAGAATGGCTACCAGCAGTAAATCAACAAACAGCAAGTGCTGGTGAGAATGTGGATAAAATGGACCCTTTGTTGGTGGGAATGCAGACTGGTGCAGCCACTGTGGAAAACAGTATAATGTTTCCTCAAAAAATTAAAAATGGAACTGCCATTTGACCCAGTGATCCCACTTCTAGGAATATATCCTAAGAATCACAAAACACTAATCAGAAAGAATATATGTACTCCTATGTTCATAGCAGCGCTATTTACAATCGCAAAGATCTGGAAACAGCCCAAGTGTCTATAAGTAGATAAGTGGATAA